TATGCTTTGACCCATGCTTTTGTACACTGAGGGTCTTGAGCTCATAACAATAGTATAGTCTTCTATAATAGTATTCATAGTATGAAGGTAAAAGATATGAAACAAACAAAAGTTAATGCATAAAAAGGAGCTGGGGTCAGATGAGATGAACATGGAATGACCCTGACACACAATACTGCTGTAATCACGCCGTCTTAATGTCTACAATGCTCCTTAGTCTATTTTCCAGTTCTTACGCTTTTGAATAAATAAAGTAAAAGGACAATTTCAAAGATGGGTGCTAATACTTTTCAAATGATAAAGCAATTACACACTGTCAGGAGGAACTTGTTTTATACTGCCAACATGTCAGACAAAGACTTTGTCACAGAAATCAAAAAGCATTTAAACAGTTAAAAGGCAAGTCACAGATCATTTAAACATCAATATTGAGGCCAAATTAGACAAACACGTGGCAAACGATCAGAAGACAAAGATACTCGTGTATACACATGTTCACATCTGGTGTCAGTGGCACAATGCAACAAATAATGTTTATTTAAATGGGTGGAACGGTTTGTACAAGTACAAGCTTGTCAGATTATTTCCAGTCAGTTTGGCATTTGTTTTCAAAATAAAGGCCTTTAATTGGATTGAATCATCAGCACAGCCAGTTTTTGGCCAACTAAACAGGAGATCGGCTACAATAAAAAGCGAAGGTACTGACTGAGAAGAATATTGTCATTATCACTCTGCTGCTGCAGCAAGTCTGTGCATACTACAGGTACACAGTCACACACGCACACACACTCCCACAGGCGACTCTCCAGGCATGTCATCAAGCCAGTCAGTGCTAGAGCTTCCCATTGGCAAAGGCTCCCTCCTGGAACTGAGGGATGAAGCTCTTGAAGTACGCCCTGGGAGACAGAGACATAATAAATTGTGACAATAATTATGTTTCAACTGCTTCAAAGCATCTGACAAATTCACTGGGTCAGTCCCAGCGTGCAGCAAAGTGCACATAAAAAGGAGAATGTTTTTATTGCCTGCAAACACAATTCAACATGAGAAACGACACTGTGCACCTCAAACTCTAAAGGGAAACACAGGAGCAGTTTAAGGAACAGATCTTCTCCTGAATGACTTTCTAAAAGGAAGTCTCTCGACTATCAGCTTGTTCATGTCACTGGGGATTTAAGTTTTAGCTTAATAAGACCAATTCCTTATTTAACGTAAAGGGCACAGAGACATAACTTTTATTTCATTGGTCACTGGCCAATCAATTTGGAAACCCATCGTCAACCTGACTCTGACGACAAAGGTCAATTTTTCAGAGCTTCCATAGTAGCCAGTGGATATGTAAGCCTCTCGTTGAACTACAGCCTTATCTGTTTCCATTAATATTTCTTTTACAGTTTATTTTACAGGAGGAATTGTACCTGCACACAACCATATCCTGTCCAAACATGACCAGAAGGCTTCTATTGCCAAAAATATTGTTCCTTGCCAACAGATTCCACATATTCATATGTAGAGATCAGTTTACAGGGGCATAAAAATTGTGGAATCAGCAGTCAAATCTGATTAAAATCGCTTCACATGTTTGCACACCATCCTCTGACCTCCTCTGCTGCAACACAATTATTATCACTCACCTTGATTATTGATTTCAGAAAGTGGGCAAAGTCTTGAGGCGGCAAACTGGTTAAATGTAAGTACGTGGTGAGTAAAGACAGTGTTCTTCATAGCACACCGCTGTGCAGCACAGTTGAGATCGCGTCATCTGAATGTCACATCCTAGCAGATGTAATCATGGTGCACAACCTGTTGAAACAACAGCGAGCGTGCTCCTGCTCCTGATCCAACGAGCTGCCTTCAGGCTTAAAAACTGTGAACTCTTCACCTGAGATGGAGCTTTCAAAAGAACTTCACATTAATTTGAAACTGAAGCTGATGGTTGTTGTCTGCACCAGTTTAACGTCTGTGGTGAAATTGCATCTCTGAGGGGCACTTTCAGAGAACAGTGTAAAAATAGCAGCCACATCAGAAGCTGTCTGGACATGCCCAAGAAGATAATCATGAACAGGAGATCGGCCTAACTTAAATCAGTCAAGGTTTTTGATTCCCATGTGCCTATTCCAGGAAACTTTTTTTGTACGTTTGCCAGTTAACCTGCCGAATAGCTTTTTGTCGATGGGGGCGGGACAACAGTCAAGTCTCACACAGATTTTTATTCAGGATTCTTTGAATGCCACGTCTCTCCATGCAGCAGTATTGCTAAAAGGAGATGTAACAGTTCAGCTGTTCAAACAATTTCTGTTTGAAAATGATAACTGGGTTTACGCAGGAGAGTCTGTCTGCTGTATCACTGCAGAGGAGGAGTACACAGAGGCCTTTCCATTAACATGGATCTGAATAACACCCATAACCACTGAAACTATGCACAAAGTGGCATTTAAAACTGCTTAGAGGATGAACTGCAACTGTAATGTCACCAACAAAAAACTACACTAAGACTAAATCAATAGTTTAGCTTCCTAAATCAAAACAAACACCTGCATTTTCGATATACCTGAAGATGTGTGTCTGGAATGTTTACTTAACGCTGTCGGTGACTCTTGAGGAAGGTCAAGCTGTCTGTCACAATGACACCATCATTCAACCGGGTATCCAAAGACAAAAAGCCCACAAATATGAGACTCAGTGTCACGTCGAGTAGTTTTCCTTTAAAGAACCTTTGCTCAGCCAAGAGATTATGCATTGCCTTCTGTTTTCAATATTTACAGTAGTTATTAACCTTTACCATACAAAGAGCAAACACTGCATTTACTCAAACAAGGTCAGGCTAGTTTATGTGTACTGAGGGTTGGGTCAAATCTGTATATCAATAGATGGTCTATATGCTGCACAGTCCATATGACAATGCGTCATAATACCATAGTTAAAGCTTTAACAACACTTTTGATAAATGAATGAAACAAGCTTACAGGGACTTTGAAGATAATGAAATGTAGATAATGACAGGAATGAAAAAGGCTGGATTTCATTACAAGGTAGAATAATAGGAATAAAGGGTCACAGCAAGAAAGAAAAACATCTTGGAAGGGTTTAAAATCCAGATTCAGGTTCAGATATTCTCTGAGATTAGTTTATATGACATGATAAGTCATACATTTCTGGGAAAATTTTGAAACACTTTGAAATGAGAAAAACAAAACTTTATTTACTTACTTAATACATAAATTAATAATTAATTTTCAAGTCAGGGGACAATGTACCATGTTTAACTTTACAGTGTCAGAATATCCAATTGTGTCTTGTCTTCCTTTTAAATGAACTGACTTAATTTCCCAGAATATTGCATTTTTTAGCTATTTGATATCTGAGAATATCTGAGAAATTGTGTTTTTTTCTTTTTAAGAGTATTACACTCCCTTCCAAAAGTAATTTTTATATGACTTTTTCTGACTGTAAAGGGTCTAATATATTATTGTACGTCCACTGAGTTTCACCCCAACAGTGTATGAAATGTTCAACATATTCGCATAAGATATAATTACAATAATGTGTATTTTTACGAGGCAGGTGCTACATACTTTGCCCTCTTTGCCATCTCGTTGCCATCCCAGCGTGGGCTGTAAGGATATGACTTCTGCACCTGAGAGTAGAGCTGACCGCTGTTAGTGAAGTGGTACACAGACTGGAAGGTGAGGGTGGGCTGGTCTCTGGGGAAGTACAGCGGGAGGTCCACTACAAAGTGCAGACACAGAAAAGAATGAATACCTGACGCTCCTCTTCTCTCTTTATTATTATGATGCCTTTACCTTGCAGTATATCGCCCCGAGACAGCTGTTATTGTGAACTGGTGCTATATATAAAAAAAATTTAATTACCGTGCACTAAGAAGCAGAAATCTTTCCACATGAGTAGAAGGGTGAGTTTCGTGAATCCCTCAGCATCATACTCCACCACCCCCCTGTAACACATACACACCGATTACATTCATGTCTCCAGTAACAAATTGATGAGCGCCAGACACGTGCTGTGATCGCTTCATGACTCACGTTCCAAAGTGGCTGAGAAAAGCAGCGATGTATTCTCGCCTCTTGTGATAGCCTTGGATGACATACTGCACCTAGACAGGCCAAAGTGAAGGTTTTAGTACAGGAAAATACAGAAACAGCAAACCGTGTTTGAACATGAGCAGCAACTTATGAAGAGAAATGTTCAGAAGGGATTCAGTGGGCTCAATCAAAGCAGATAACCCTTATCTGACTCATCCTCTGCACAAAGAAAGAAAAAGAGCCTTTTCAAGATATTTTTTTCCAGCTTCACTTATGACCAGGGATGGCTGGGAAAGACAATCACATAAAGGGAAAGTCATATATATGTTACTGACATGCTTTAATTTAATTAAAGATGCATAATCACACAATTACGTCCATATAAGGCTTCAACCAGTCAACAACAAGTCAAAAAAACCTTCTACGCCAGCATCATTGGGGCAAAAAGAAAGAAAGATGTATTTTCACTTTAGACTCCATCTCAATGATGTTTTTTAGCAGAGATTAAATGTGCTTTTCCACTCTGAAAATTTTGTGCAGCTATTTCCTCTACTTAAGTTGTTAGAGGGCCCTGGAAAAAATAAGGTGACCCAAAAAGTGCAGAATTCCAGACGCCTTTATGTATTTTGGGCCTGTGTGCTTACAAGCAGGAAAATTATTATTTAAGTTTAATGAACTGTCAATTTACCAAATGATTTTACATTATAGGTTTTCTTTAGGCAGTTTTGGGGTCATTCTTCCTTAGTTAACAGCAGTTCATGACGACATCAATCAAAATCTGTAATCATTTAAATTAGGTTGCAAAACTCCGATCTGGGACCTCCCCACCTTTTTACACGTATACGTGGAAAGCTGGAGGTGGAGAGAGGAACAAGACCCCAGTATAGAACAAAATAGTCAAGAGGAAAAAAAGATGTGACGCTAATTAAGTGAAAAGGAGGAGCTGGGGTGGATGTGGGCTACAAAGCGGTTTGTAGTAGTCAGCACTTGTAAGATGTCTAAGAAGGAACTTAAATTGTGTGTCCTTTGTGATATTTCTCAATAGCGTAGTAGAATGGTAGTGTCTTAAAACTGAAACCCTGATAATTCTCTGTTAACTCTGTAACACAGACAGTTGGAGACACAATGGCCAAGTAGTCATTCCAGTTATACTTCTTTAAAGTCTACTTGAATTCTGCAGCAGGTAGTTACACAGCTAGTGCATTGTTATGTAAAGTGTTGGCGGATGGATCTGCAAATTCACAAAAAATTGGCAGGCACACGGACGTCTGCACAGACTCCTTGTGTTCGCAGGTTGAAATCTAGGGAATTTAGATCACTTGGACCCAAGCTGACCCACTGACAATAGAAAATATAATCAAGGCCTGTGTTGATATGGGCTGTAATTGAGATCAGCCGATCTATTGGGAGTGTTGTTGAGCTCGACTTAGTGGTCTGCCTGAATGACCTCTGGGAATGCACCAGGCATGACTGCGGTGCATCCTGTCTGCAGTGGGCCCACTCAAGACAATGAGTACAATTAACCAAACGTGCCGTTCCAGATTTCAGAAGTATCCCAGAAGCATCTTTGTGCTTTGTGTCACTTGACATGGCATCTGGTTTATTTTTGACAGGGGCTGAAGTTGCACAAGGCAGGTGAAGACAACAGGAAACCAGACACTTGAGCAGCATGACCAGAATCTGGTCATTTTTTGAAATAAAAGATCCTGTGCAGGATAAATTCTGCTCCGGAAACACTCGTATTGTAATTTGAAGCTCTAATCGCTACGCCCAGCCGTAGCAGGATGTTCAAACCTTTCAGGCCGAAGCCTGAAAAATCTTCAGAGCCGTAAGCGTTAAAGGTTAGGAAAGGGAAAGAGAAAGTTGCTGCCATCAGTAGAAGATCAAAGTGAGATTTCTTTACTTCCTTCTAATCAGAGTTCTTAATCAGAGTGAATAACAGCCTAAACAACCAGTCAGCAGACTAGAAAATGAAGCCCCACAAATCTACATCCGTTTTAGTCACAGTAGCACTAGATGGCCTCTCAATTTTAGCCATCTGGGTAGCTCTGGAGAGCTTAGTGTGCCATGATGGGTGACCTTCTCAAAATAGCAGCGGCAGGTCGAGTTTTATTAACAGATACAGTCTGGTCCTGGCACCAAAACTGCGGTGTGGAAATGGCTCAAAAAATTCTCACATGCCCATATTTACACTGTAAGAGATTTTGTTGTAGTAATCACTCATCCTTTCCATACTGGGTGTGAAGAAATCCCTTCCCAAAGTGGGACAAAATCTACAGACCTCAATCTGTTAAAAATGCAACTGCTTAAGGCAGTTTAGACAACTATAAAATAACTTTTAAATCAATCTCCTAATCTGCTCAGTTTGCTTTCTGTTCGGTATGGACAGGAAGAATGATTAAAAGGATCATGGGTGTGTGACTACTGTTTTGAGATGATGCAAAAATGCATTTTAGGTGCTCTTTGGGATCCCAAAGAGCACAAATCATCCAGATTCTTTGATCTCTATGTGGCTGCTCTGCCAGGTGTTATTAGAAGTCAGGTAGGTTAAAACATGGGATATAAAGAAGATAATAATAATAATAATAATAATAATAATGATAAACTTTATTTATAAAGCCCACTAAAAAACCAAGGGCATACCAAGGTGCTTGACAAAAAAATAAAATAAGATACACCAACAAAAAATAAAATACACCACCCTCTAACTGGAGTTTTTCTTAAAAAATAAACCAAAAAAGGTACAGTAATGCTTCAAGTCTGGATCTAAACAAAGTCAAAAAACTACTGTCAGCGATGTCTGGAGGGTTGGTGAAGCTGGACTTCAACAACTATGACCTAAGGCCTATGGTCAGGTGAATATTTAAAAAAAAAAAGTGCCTAAGCCTAATAAAGAAATAAGAGGATAGCCATTAACATTTGGGTATATGTTTTGGATTTCCTGCTTCAAAAAAAGTCCTGATCTTGAGCTTAATGACCTCACTGATATCTTAGTTGGCCTAATAGTGTTTTGTGAAGCATTATTTGTGGAGTCTGTAGCTGGAGGTGCATAGAATGACCAATAGATTTTGGGGCTCATGTTTATTAAGATGCGCAGAAACCAACATAAGGCTGTTTCATCATCACTTGACTGGTAGATAAACATTCAACCTCAGCCATAACCTGTTTTCAACACTTATTAGCAACATCGTTTTTATTGCTCCCAGTCTTATCACTTGCATTAACTGCATTTGGCATTGGACTGTTCAGAGCAGCCAGAACATAAACAATGCCGTGGCAGAGAAAGACCAACATTAAGAAAAGCGAACGTGTTATTTGCTCTGAGCAAAAAAGTAATATTACACGCAGTCTTTGTACAAGAGTATTGAAATGTCACAGAAGTCTTCAGCTTACCACTTGAGAACTAAATAAGCCGTTGTTAACAGCTCTCAGCCATAGAGAGTTTGACATAGTCTGTCAAACGTAACAAGAAAAAACCCTCAACAATTTCCTCATTCTAGTCTCCATTTTTATATAATGTGACGTTCTTTTCCTGACTAAACAGCCTTTTCTGTTTTTCATATAAAATGCTGCAGTGCTCACTTTAAGGCTAATTGTGTGACATATTTCAGACTCTGTGCTGTGAAACAGTGCTTCTAGATAGTGAATGCTGTTATTTCTTCTGTGTTAATACTGCATTACTGAAAAAACGCTTTCAATATTTGTTTTAAATCCATTTCTTAGAACGTCACCTTAATCTCTCAGAAAAGCCCAAACATATTCTGTGAATCGTTTTCAGTTTTGGTTGACTGCTTTTAGTCAATAGAGGGATTGGCAATTTGTTTACTGAACATAAATGGACTCACTTGTACACCACAGGAGTGGTTTAATTTACCACATTCTCAAGCCAGTGATCTCAGAACACACAAACATTGTATGCACAAAATGCTGCAACTGACTGACGTTCACTGAGGGAGTGGTACTGGCATGCTGGATTCTGGCATGTGTGCCCGAGCTGTTGCTGCAGCCTTGCCCACGACAGCACCATCTCTTATCTGCTTCCACTTGGTGGAAACCTGATTGCACAGAGGTACTGAGACGAGATGCTCCAACTGTACTTGCGGCATCACTCCGCCTAGCAGCTGTTTCAGCTTGACAATGCCCACCCCCGCACTGCCAAAGTAGTGCTGGCCTTTCTGGAATCAGGACCAAATCCAGACACTTCCTTGGCTAGCATTTAGTCTCAAAATGTCTCCTACTGAACATGCCTGGGACATGTTAGGTCGATGTATTCATCAGAGGCAGCCCCAATTAATGACCGTGGCACAGCTGCAGGCTGCACTCATCCAGGAATGGAGAGCAATTACTGTGGAGTCCATGCCTAAACAGGTGACAGGTGCTTCCAACATGGCCAGAGGAGGTCATACCTCATATTGAACATCTTGTCTGCACATTTATTGTAGTGTAGGTTGGTAAATTTTGTTCAAACGTAAGTTTCTGTTTTTTTTAGCTAGTATATTTTTGAAGGGTGAACCAAAACAATTATTATTACGCGAGGTTGTATCGGTGTCAGTAAAATGTGACGACAAAAAAAAGTCAACCAATTACTCGTCTCAACCCTAAGCAGTCAAAAGCCTGTAGTAAAAGTGCATGGTTCCTTTGAGGACAGGATGTATCATGATTAAGCTGGAGATGGTGTTATCCACTGCTACTGAATATTTGTGATTACTCATCAACGTTGTATGAATGGCAACGTTTTGTGAAAGTAGTAATCTTTCAAACACACAGTGGTATGTGTGTGATCTCTGCAAGAACTCATAAAGACAGGCACACATTGTGACTCAGCCTCCTGTTCGATTATGTTTACATGAAACGGTGGAGGCGGCAATTTAGCTTTCTCAAAAGCTGCAAGGCCACATACTCAATAAGCTGTTTATGTAGTTACACTGTGTGTGTGTGTGTGTGTGTGTGTGTGTGTGTGTGTGTGTGTGTGTGAGAGTGTGTGTGTGTGTGTGTGTGTGTTTTAAGGGAAGTGTGGATCACTGCACTTTCACACCCATACTGAGAAAGGATTTCCTGCCCCCACTCAATGTACGACTCGCAGCCAAGTCGTTCCATTGGCTGCCTGGAGGTTTGAGTGATGCAAGAAAGGTGATCTTGTTTTGCAGGTATTCAAACCTGCCCGCACCCATGACACCCGCACATCCATTTATTGTGTTTGTGCAGGTGTCTGTGGGGAGAGTGATGCAATAACGCCGGAAGTGCTTATTGCAGCATTATTAAGAAATCACTTCTCTGCCTGTCACACATTCACACCACCCCCAGCTTTCTTAAAGTGTGACTGATCTGATATTTGACTGCAAATTGATTTTGAACATCAATGACTTTTGATTCCCCAAGTTCCACAAGTAGATCTAAATATACACACACAAATACTTATTTACAAACCGCTGTTATTACAGCTAACATAAAACTAGATGTGAAAGCCTGTAAACTACACAAGAAATGCCAATTGGGTGAGCCAAATTTGCCAACATAGCCAGCCTGATAAGGCTCATTTTTAATCTTTGTTTTTACACTGTGATTCGGGTTTTTGTGGTTGTATTGCATTACATTAGGCTACTGTTCTGAACTTCTTAGGTCTTACCATCTGACAAATATCACCCATAGCCCAATAATAGAAATAAAAACTGAAACAGTTAAAACTAGACTAAATGTAATATTTTTATACAAAAACTAAATTAAAATGGGCTAAACCACAATAGGAAACTACATGAAACAGGAGAAAAACCCCACTACCAACCAACCTACAGCAAAATAGCTTAAAGATGAATAAATACACAGTTTGATAAAACAATATATAAAAATCTAACAAAAATTTAATGAGCACAAAAATGAAACACAAAGTATCCAAAACAGGTCTGGCAAACTGGAAATTGGGAAACCTTTTGTCCTGGGATTCACATGGATGTTACTTTGACTAGATTACCCTCCTACATATTGCTGTAGACCAAGCAATGCTACCCCCCACGGCAGTGGTCTCTCTCAGCAAGACTCTCCTCATTGTAAAAACTGCTGGAGAAGTCCATGAGAAACATGACAAGTGTTCATCCAGCCTTAAACTATCCACTGAGCATCCACAATTACCACTCCCAAACCATGGCGGCCTACCGCATAACCCCACAGGCCAACTACAACAATAAAAGGTGCACATAAAAAATGATCACTTGAAGGCAATACACCCATATACATTAATTTCCACTTAGGAATAATTAAGATCTGATTATGATGTGTCAGTGACAGAAATAAGTGCACACAATTTATAAAAACGTGTCCACATATTAGAAATATCGTGACTCACTCTTGAATTTGCCGTCTACTCAAGCTGCTGGGAAATGTACTCGCACAGCTCATTTCTTTCTTCTTCGTATAAAGTGAAGAAGTCACTGTGTAGATTAATCAGCCTGATGATTCATGCGATGGGCACTCTCTGGGCTAGTGCTACCGCCACTGTTTCAGTGTTAATACAGTTTTATTGGGACTGAAGCACTGATGTTTACGTTCACATTCATCCTGTGCCTGAAAGTTACGCTTCGCCAATGTCTAAAATGTAAAAGTTTGTATATGAAACCTTTTCAAGTATCACTTACACGTTTTAGGACTATCAATCAATAAATGTGATTAAAAAAAAAGGAATTTATTTATTTATTTATTTTTTTGTTACTTTTTTTTTTTGATACAGTCATAGTTGACTGAAGAAATATTGACATTCCAGACAATTCACCCGTTTCATTGTGGAATGCTCAGGAATCAGTTAAAAAAAACCCAAGAGCTACATATATTACTCATAGAATACATAAGCAAATGCCCACAAACCTAAACCAACTAAAGTGAAATTGTAAAGAACACCAAAATTGAACCTCAACACTATGAGAAACAGATAAAGTCATTAAGGAAACCGTTACCTCAAGTTTTTACTTCTAAAGTTAGTCATACAACCTACTGAACCATGGGGTGTACTTCGTTTTCCCACGCAATGCTTCTTTAGCTTATGTTACATAAACAATGATATAGTGTAAAATATCAATATGCTGCTGTTCATCTGAGGTTGTATTTAAATTATTTTAAGACTCGAGATTCTTTCTATTATGTCCTGATATGTAAAACCTAAGAAATGAAAGAAGGTGTATTTTTCTTTCATTTTTAATTCAAGAACATTGAAGATGACGAAGCACAGGGTGTAGTATGGTGTGGAGGCTGACAGTATATAGCAGCCATTAATGTGTGTTGTAATCATGACCCTGTTAACATATATGTTGAAACAGAATGCAATAGATGTGAACAGGCCCTTTTGCAGAAACACAAGTGCTCTCACAAGAGACGAACAATGATCTTTAACACGTAAAGAGACACCTGAAAAATGGGGAGTGGAGCTGAAGCAGACACTCGAAACATTTTATTACACTCTTTCCATAATTAGATACTCTGTGTCAGTCTCTCAATCTAATTATCACCATCGTGTCAAAAAATACGAACAGCAACTAAAGATTATCTTATTGAAATTGATTGAGTTAATCACACGTATACATTTCACAGAGCCTATTAGGCTCAGCAGTGGATTTTCATGAGCAATATTTTGAGCGGTGCAGACACCAGGTGCTGGCATCAACCAGCGGAATCAGCTGTCACACTCACAGCTGAGGTATGTGACAGTATAGCTCTGTCGATACAATCCTCACATCTGGAATAAGTGGGAGTAAATAAGTGATGTGTTAAAAACATAAAATAACTGAACAGCTTGCCCTTGAAAAGACTGTGAGAAGCTGAGATGTTAGAACAATGTATTTTTTTTCCCTTTACCATGATTGTTGGCTTCAGTTAAAAAAAGTGGAAAACATTTACAGACAATATATATAAATTGTGCTTTGTGTCTCTGCTATCAACTTCAGCCCATTTTGAATAAGACACAGCTCTGTTTTCTAGTCACAAAGTGGTTGTTGGAAAAACAATGCTCGTATTGACTCGTGTTTTGGAATTGGGTGCTTTTTTCACCTATAACATTTTCTTATCTCTTATGCCTCTTTCCTCCACTGCTCCCGTGTTTTATGGCATTCCGCAGGGATCTATTCTGGGTCCCCCTTTACTTTTAATCCTTTCATTTATCTAAAATTGTTCACCTGATCCCTTCAGAATCAAGTGATTTTTAATGAAGCCATATAACATTTTATGTTAGTTTTATTTGATGTTTGAAGAAAATAACACTTACACACTGCATTTGAACAGATTTAAATGTGTTCAAATAACGAATAAAAAGTGATATCTGTGGAAGAGCTAACAAGATTCTTCTTTGCCGTAAAATAACAAACTAATAATAAAATATTAGAACTTATTAAAATTAGAACACAGCCTTCGTGGACAGTCTGTACAGTTAGCTGCATGGAAAGCCATATTATATGTCAGATTATTCCATTAAAATGTTTCAAAATGCGGTGCTAGAATGAACAGGGTCAAGGTGTCAGTTCATTTACTCCAATTAACTGAAGCCGAGAGCTACCATCTACAGCTACCTGTGTCTGCAGCCTATATGTTGTATAATTATAGGATTTTAACATGTGAATAATTTAAATATTCAGTTGTTATGATGGGAAAATTAACTATACACTATACTAAAAGCGCTTTAGTACCAGGCTGTAAACTTATTTACTGTTGTTCTTTAGTGTATTTTAGAGGAATTGCAGTTTCACACTGGCTTTATTTTTTGGCTTCAGAAGGTCGCTGCTTGGGTAAAGTAAAGCAGCAAATGTCTTGCCCTAAGTCCTTTTAAACTTGCTTTCTAAAAAAGGGATAATTACATTATGAATAAGACTCCATTTCCAAGCAAAGGCTGTGACCTCTTTCAGGGAAGTGGGATGGGCGGCTGTGACTTAAACAACTGAAGACATGGGGGTCATCAAAGGATGTAAACGTTCCAGATAGTATGCTGGTGAGATTCCAGGTGAACAGGAAGAGATAGAGGGTATGCCTGTGTGCATTATTTGTGCGCTTGTCTGAGAGGCTGTGGGGGGATGGGCATTTGCCTTGAGGGAAGTGGCATTACATTGCGTCCACGCTGCATATCTACTTGTCAACCTGCGGAGGCCAAGGAGCCCTCAGACAGCCTATGGAGGTTGGCCAGTACGCCCACGCTGGCAGATGCCAGACACACGTGCATGAACACACACACATGCACACACATGTACACACAGCTTGACATCAGTGGATGAATGCTTTGCTGCACTAAGCCTTACAAATATGCAATAAATGAGTCATATACCTGTCACACACCCACACACAGAGTATAGAATTTTGATCTTAAAATACAAAGACATTAAGGGTTACAAATAATGTAAAACAATACATAAGCACAAAGAACATCTAGCAGCACTAATGGGATGTGTGGTGAACACTTTTACCTTGTTGGTGAGTAACTGACACACTTGAGGGACGTAATCAATTAAGCATCCTCCACTGGGAAATGCTGGTATATGTAATGCTGAGGAGCCTCCCAGAGCACTGATGGGAAAAGAAAAAAAATAACAGTCAGTCTGGAAATTCACATTAAAGCTGCACGTTATTTATCGTGTTACATATTTTTCTTATTATTTTAAATCCCAAAACACATTTCAATTGAAGTTCAAATAAAGTGAAGACTTTGAAACAAGCCACATGTGACCACTTCACGTTACAGAAGGTTAACCAGTATGAAGCACAAAATTATTTGCTCCTGTGCACCTGAAATTGTCTCACACACACAAAAAAGAGCAAATCGAGCCTGTGGCATCCTCTTCATTCTCCTTCACTTGTTCAATCATTATTTTTGACGTCCTCCTGATTTAATCCTCCACCACAGCTCCATTAGTGATTAGCTCATGCTTGCTTAATCAGGAAATCTGCTGCTGCAGCTCTCCAGTGACTAACCAACTGGAGTAGTCACTCCCTCAGTTTTTTTTTCCTGATCTGGGGGAAAACAGAGGGAATACCCTGAGGATGGGTTAAAGGTCTTAAGAATCTGCTTATTGACTTTTAATGCTTTTTTAAAGATACATAGAGGGGGGATTTGTTGTCTATTTTTAGTTCATCCCTCATTATAGCAGAGCAGTCACAGGACATTTAGAAAGGTCGTTATGTCCTTTTAAAAGTGATGCAGAAGTGGTAGTTTATCAGGTTAAGCGTGACTGATGCAGACACCAACAAGCTGTTATTTCCAGGGCGTAACATAATGCCACTTTGTCTCGGTTGTACACAAGGTGTCCTTTGGTTTACAGCACTGATGAGACAGGGTTGCTACTCAGAGCTAGCCAGCTCAAATGTAAAGTGTAGCTGGTGTTAAGGGACATTTTTTGGGCATTTTCATCCTTTACTGGACAGTCAGTTGGGGATAGACAAGAAAGCGGGGATAACTAAGAAGTAGCTTTCCTTTCTTACTGACATTACTGTCATCTGCTCACAAATTATACGGCATTTGCTATACCTCATGTTAAAAATACGATTGTAATGCCAAAAGAAAACAACAACAACCTGATGTTCTGCAGTGTGAATGTAGCCTATGGTAAATGTCAGTCACATATGCTCACATAGTCAAAAATGATGACCGCACCAATTCCGTTACATCATTCACATCTTCCCAGATGAGAAATATTTTCCACATTCTCTCATTGTTACAAGCTGAAAAGCAGCGACAAATACACAAGAATTGCAAAACTGTAGAATTTCCAGATACAACGAAAGGCTGTGGGAGTAGTAAGGAGGAAAGGTGGAGCACCTCATGATGCAGCTAACCTTACTGTCATGACCAAGACCTATAAATTTTTATGAGAAAAATGGTCTTAACAGAGGTTAGGAAAAGGCTAAAAATGACTGCACCTCCTGACTCCGTACAGTGTTAGAGATGCATTTAGATAAACACATTCTCATGACAGCTCATCATATCACATACAGGAGTTACAAGTGGCTAAAGATAAGAATCACACCCAGCCAGAAAGATTCAAATCTGCTTTATGAAACAGATGCTCGGCTGAATATTAATGAGGTCCTATTCACTGAGAAGCAATGCATGTCATGAAGCCATTTTCATTGTCAAAATCCTTTTCTCAAGAACTCCAAAGCCACCATTTACAGTAGGCTTTGTGCACATAATTAGCATTAGCCTGTGCGTTTCGCAGTGCACCAACAAATGGTCGACTGAAAATGGCTTACAGCAACGAGGAGAGAAGAAGGCTTTGAAAGTGAAAACCTAAATGGTGCCCATCTATCCTCCCACAGATCTAAGAATAGCTCCATATCATTCAGATGGAAATGCGGACAGAGGCACAAAATAGATGGTGGTGTGTTCGTCATTCATCGGAACAAATGAGATGCATTTTGGATTTCAGCGGTTTTACCCCGGGAACAATCATTTGAATGGAAGCTGATTAGAGGTTGGTTCTTCCATTAACATTAACAACAAGGTCTTCCAATATGCAAAACTTCAGTATACATGAGAAGCTCGAGGAACGAGATTTACAAATTATGGACATGTCAGATTTTTACAGAATTAACCTCCACAATTACTACAAACGACTAGTGGTCCCCAGACAATGTTGGCCCTGTGCTAATAGGGCTATCGACAGAGAAGAAACTGAAATTTCAATGTCTGCCCAGCTACTCAAAGTTAAACTGGATTGCCATACTAAAACCACTAGTCACTCTGAAATGGAGTAAGAACCTTCAAAATATAATTTAGACTCTGGAAATTTCCTTTCATTCAGTAGCTTAAAACTTAAAATATACACAGTGAGACATTTAGTGGACAAAAGAGAGATTAAAGAAAAATGCTGAAAGGCAGTGGCTCAGAAGTCCTCTTAGAAGCAAATCTCGGCACTTATCAGCTATTTTGCAATGCATATGCACAGTTATTTGTACGGTCACCTTAAAGCTCTTATCTACATGAATAGGTAGAGCCACAAGTTTAATTTTAGTGCTCACAAGATCAAAAAAAACCTGCTTATATAAGATCAGGTTTATTTTATTTATCCTAAAAGTAGATAACTTCCTGCGTTAAACCAACCAAAGCAATATAAGCTGAAAACCTAAATAGCAGTGGTGTTGCTCAGTGTTGCCTCAGTCACGTGGGCCTAGAAACTATTTGGCAACTCCCTGGCTGTCTCTTTGACTGCGTGGGGAGTGGTTTCTGGCTGTCACAAGGTGAACCCCATCGCAAAGAAGGTGCCACATAAAAAGACATTCTTGCAATCACTTTGGTCACTGATGTAACTTCCTCTAGCTTGCATAGAAAATGTCTTGTCTGTAAACAGTAACAACTGCTCAAGAGCAGTAGTGAAAAGTGCAAAAAGTGTGATGAAAATCAGAAACAGAGACTGTAAAAGTTGCAACAACTGATGTTTGTCAAAAGTTGCAACTTTTACTTTGAAGGCAAGGGTCCCTGTTTCTAGCTTGTGTAGTTTGCTATCAGCTAGCAACAAAAGCAAAAGCAAGGAGGTTTTTAGTGCAGTACCATAAGCCTCTTTGTGGCTGACTTCACCTAATGTCAGCCTCCATCAACCATTTGCCAACCACTTGGGGAAATACACATTTCTGCCTAGCAGCACGTGTTTACCAGGGGATAGCCAACCAATCACAAGGTTTGTCTTGAGTAACTGGGGCCTAAAATAGAATATCACAAATCAAAATAGCTCACCAAGGTACCATTAAACAAAAGCTAAAAAGCTAAATCACCTGACAAATCAAGAACACACATGCACAAAATTAAAAATCTAGAAAATTTGCCCAGAACTTCCAGAAATCAATATGTAACTCATTTTACATTGTGGGCCACATACAGCCCACTTTCATCTTAAGTGGGCTAAACCAGCAAAACTCTCCTTTCTGTCAGTGTAAAGATGTTTAAATACACATTTAAACCCAATTAATATAAGAAAAAGCAATGCAATTTTAACAATATGTCACAGTTCTTCTATATTATTATCCTAAATTCTATTCTATATGAAATACTGCTGTAGTACATGAAAGAAATCTACCAACAAATAAATAAATGTGCAAAATTACAGAAAGGATTAATTTCTCTCAATGCCTAGATGATCCTGCGATTAAAAAAGTTTTTATTACTTCACAGAAAATTTGCATTTATTTTTTTTTATTTTTATTGTGGCCCCATTGTAAAACAAACAAACAGGAACTTCTCTGTCATTTAACTGTTTATCTATTTCTTTATTACTTTGGTCTAATATGAATGAAAGCGGTCTTTACCAGTAGGAAAAATTGTAAAAGTGTTATAAGTGGTAACTGGAAATACAGTCACAAGTTTAAAAGCTACACCCTCCTTCATATATTCCAAAGCCATCAAGTCTTTCCTCTGCCAATTCTGGTCGCAGGGCTTTACCTGCATCAAGTATCAAGAGCATATCTAGACTATAATAGCAACTTTTATTTTGACTTTTCCCACCTGGGAACCTTTGAGCTGCCTTAGTTTATACCAAAAACTTCCTGTTAAAAACTCTGTAATAACCTTTATGGATCATTTTCACAGACAAGCCTCATGTGAAATAAAGTGTTCACAGGCTGAGAACTCCCCCTGATTAGTGGGCTGACCTTTATGTGTTATGTCAGCGGAGATCCCCTGGTGGGGTGAGAAAACACTGACCAAAGTGATATGATATGAAACTTTTTCAATCTGGGTCTCATCTCGAGTAAAAAATAGGTTAGAAAAATGTTCCCGATACGGTTCTGTCACTTTAATAACATGTCTGTGCTATCAGGCTTCCAGCTTTAAAGTGCTTTAACATGAGCATGCTGTGGGTGGGCTCAGAATCGAGACATAATGGTGTTTTACTTTCAAAGTGGCACCCTGAAGAGTCCCCGCTTCTGTCTTCACTGGTGACTCCACTCTCAACACTACCCACACATACTGGAGTCATCACGGAGACATGCTGCCTAACACAAACCCTCTGAGCAATGGAACCCACTGTATGACATATTTACAGTGGATTGTGTACATGCAGTCATGTAAACATGCAGTACAGCGACGGGGCTGCCTGTGACTTCATCAACCAGAGAGATTATCTTCTGTGACTCAGGTGGATGGTGACGAAGCTTGGTTTGTTTGTGTGTGTGTGTGTGTGTGTGTGTGTGTGTGTGTGTGTGTGTGTGTGTGTGTGTGTGTGTGTGTGTGTGTGAGGGAGATAGGGTGTGTATGGCAGTGCAGTGACAGTGTTGGATAAAAGCTCAACTGGAAAGAGGGCAGCTATGATTCATTATCAAAGTGAAAGATGAGGCCAAGAAGGACTCTTTTGAGATTCAAATGTAGTTTCAAAGCAGTAACATTTCCATTTTGATTGCCTTCTTCATTTCCTAAAGCCTGGAAAGTCATCTGAGGCCCAGAGGAGTCTGCCGCTTGAACTATCCAAGGTCCTACTTTTCCACTGTGACCTGACAAGGCACCTTTGGCCCACAGCAGCCACAGAGGGCAACCATCGTGGCTAAATATTGTCAGCTTTAGCATCCATCTGGGTAAGGTC